ATTTTATAAGTATAACATGTAATAAAATAGTAATTTTAATGATAAATTAATATTATATTAAATTATAACATGTATTACAATTAAACAAATAAATTTATTTATTTAACTATATTTCTTTGTCTTAAAATGGTAATTTTTTAACATTATTCTTGTAAACATTTACAAACATACTATTAAATAAAGTTTACAAGTATAACATGTATTAAAATTAAATATAAAATTAAAATTTTAATAAATTAAATTTTTATAAAATTGTTTCATTCATTACCTTCTTTAATTTTAATATAATTTTCTTAAATTATAACAATTAATGAGACAATTTTATAATACAAAAATTTTATTATACAAAATTTTTTTAAAAAAAATATTACAAGTATAACATAAAATCAATAATGTAAATGAGTGAGAAGATAGAAATCACTTATCTTAATCGTATTCCGCTTAAGGCAGCAACCCCTCTCCACTCCAAAAATCGCCACAATTTTAATTTTGATTCAATGGCACCAAACTTTACACCAATAAAATCTCAACTCAAAGATTCTTGTACTCAAAAATTTTCAATATTGAATTGTCACCAGGCACCAAGAAATGCCTTTCTAAACATGAGATATATGAAACTGCTAAGGCAGTAAACCCCTTTCTAGTCTAAAACTCATTATAAATCGCATCAATTTCAATTTAAACATGCAATAACTTTTTAAAAAGCTATTATCAAGATACAAAACCTCCAAAAGTTTCTCTATCAAATATGCAATACATTAAAACTAATTGATGAAAATCTGAGAGCAACTTGGAGTATATAAAACTGCCAAGGTAGTGAACCCCTTCCTAATCAAAAATCTATTAAAAACTAAATTTTAGTCCAATTCAAACATGTGATAATTTTTTAGAAATCTCACATCAAGATACAAAACTTCAAAAAGTTTGAAGTTGAAACACACAACATGTAAAAACAAATTGATGAAAACTCGAGAGTAAATCAATAATCTACTCAACAATACAAATTTTACTATCTTCTAAAGTAAGAAATAGAAATGCTTTGTTTTCAATAATAAGGAAGAGATGTAGAATACTTACCAATGATGAAGAGCTATTTGAATTATTCACTCAATAAAATTAGGCACAATCCATTACAACAAGCAACTTCACATTCATACACACCTATTAGAAGCACCATCTCCCGGCAAATGCACCAAAATGAGGGTGTAAATTTTCACTCTTCAACCCAAGTTACAAAATGGCCTCAAATAAGAGTTACTTGTAATTGATGGTATGAAATGAAATAATAAAATAACAAGAAAAAAAGAATAACAACCACAAAGCAATTAAAATAAATGACTTGAAGCAATTACAACACCTAAAACTAAATCACAGTCTGTTCACTATATTTTCATCCAATAAAAAGTAAAACTAAAAAGTAAAAAGTATATTTTTAGATAGTTAATTTTATTATTTTTTCAATAACGTAAGTAATATGTAAATCCAAATTACTATGAATAAGTTATGAAGTTTTAAAGATATAAAGTAAATAATTAAAAAGTGAAGTAAAAATATTTTACTTCAAAGATAACTTGCTTATAGATCAAGGGTTTGAGCCTCACCAAGGCTCACATATAGTGTATATGGGTGTTTTAGAGAGGCCACGAAGTCTCAATCTTATCCTCCTAACTACCTTCAAGGTGCTATAATCCATATGGGACTTATACACTCCCCTTCCTATAAGGACTACACTAGCTATTGGTCTTCCTATTTTCTATTAGAAGGACCAACATTTTTACAATTTTGACCTCACCATGGTGTTCAAAAACACCCAATTAGCCCGTAGACCTTGTGTGGCCTCCAAATCTTGTTCTATTTCTTCATAAAGGCTCTCAAAGTGGTAAAACTCATTTTTACCAAGATCTTAAAAATTACTCTAAAAATTCCTAAAAAATTCTAAATAGATTCTAAAAAATTATATAATATTTCTATAATTCTAATATCCATTTAAGGCTATATTTTCCTACCTCGGTGATTTTTGATAATAATAAAAATCAATTTAAATCCACTATAAATCCTATTTTTGAGACCAATAACTAAAATGACATGGGGTTCTTTCTCATGCTTATTCTAACTACTAACATTTATAGTTTTTATAAGTAGCACATATAGATAGAAGACCAATATAAATATTGTTCTTAATAAATAATCCTTACTATTCAACAATGAATAAAAATACTAAATCGGTGAAGATAATTCCCTCTAAGACTTACTAAGACTCCATTTCCACCACTAACATTCTAATTTTCTATTTCTCTAAGGATTTCTATACTACTTACTATATTTCGTGATTTAAAGCATTCTAAAATAATAAGTGAGTCAATTTGATGACTTACACTAAGTCTTATCAATACATTTTTTGTTTCTAATTTAGTTTCAACAATCTCAAGCTTCTCATTCTTTAAAAATGGCCATTCTACTTTCTTAAAAAATATATTTACTTTCTTATTTCTTTTTTGTCATCTCTTTTTTATTCATTTCTCACTTGTTTACATATCATCTTTAAGTTCTTGTTCTTGATAGGGTGATTCGGTAAAGTATTAAGTGATATTTTAAAATATCTTGAGATACTTTGAACTTGCATCATATGTAAAATATTATCCAAAAATTCCATGTTTAAAAATTTTAATATCTATATATATATATATATATATATATATATATATATATATAATTTTGATTTTTTAACTCTAATATTTAAAATTTTGAATATTTATATATATATACTATTTTATTTTATTTTATAAGAATAAATAAATATATAAATATTTATATATTTTTTATTTCAAATTGCAATCATAATTCAAATTAATATGTATTTATAAGATACTTGTGTTTATATACTTGTGATTTATATACTTTTTTTTATAAGATAAATAATCATTAATATAATTTTTTATTTTATTTATATTTTTTAAATTGACTATTTGACTACAATTTAGATGAGCTTTAATTATATTAGTAAATATCTATGAATTCAAAATTGATTAATTCATCTAAAATTTATACTAGAATGCGTCATTGATTTAAAAAATCATGTCTTTATTATAAATTGACTACCATTCATCTTTATAGAAGTTAATTCTAATGTATTATAAATATCTTATTAAGAATATATTTATATATATTAGAAGAATAATCCAAGTATTAATAATAATATTAAAGTAAATAATAATACAAGAATATTTTTTTATAATTATCATTTGATTTTAAAAATTTAAGTTATTGTGTATGCATATCAAACTTTGATCTAATTCAATCAAATATACATGTTAGAGTTATTATTATTACTATTATATTTTGAATAAATGAAAATTGGCCTTTAACTTCCATTTAAAAAAATATTTATATTCTTAATTTTAAAGAAATGTTATTAAAATAATATTTTAAATCAAATATTATAGAAGAAATATTAATATTGTATGTTGATGGCATCAAGATTCTAATAAAGTATGCATATTCTAACAAAAGAATTAATTTCATCACAATGAATCTTGGTGCCCTATCATATACTCCACATTAATTTTGGTTACAGAATCAAAATTGAAGTGATATACCATATCTATTCAACAAATAATATGATTCAATTATGCCACTTTTTAAGGGAAATCCATCAAATCGAAATATCTCTCGCGTACATAAATTACACATGGATGCGCACATGAAAGAAAAAATTGATACCGTTTGAAAAAAAAAAAAAAAAAAAAAAAAAAACGCACAAAAAACTAAAAGCTTAATCTAATGAACATCGAGTTGATGTGCATGTAGAGCCCATAAAGACAGAAGTGTCTATGCTTTACTTTTACTTTTTCGGGATGCGTGGAATCTCTGTGGCGAGGCTCGTGTGAAGAGAGTTTCGGGAACTAGTTTGAAAATGTACCTATTCACATGCGTGTGTGTACATGGGGAGGTATGACGATAAACAGAAGCTGCGGTGTAGCTTTAGTAATGGATGAATTCGGATGATGAAATATGAATGAATGTGAAGTTTGATTTAGTTGTTGTTATTGTATGCGTTCATTTAGACCTCAATAATTTTCCACCGGCTGTAGGATGAAAGTGTAACAAATAGCCCTATTGTGCAAATAATGACCTTTTCTTCGTTAGATCTATGATCACCCAATCAAGTATTGATTGTATTTCAATTTTTTTGTTTGTATTTCAAACAGCAGGTGGGGGAAATTTATAAATATGAAATATGTATATATATAGCGCTATCCAAGATAAGACATAGCAACAATTATCTAATAAAAAAAAAAACATTTATTGCTATGACTTATCGTCTAGTGTGTAACATTAAAGCTTGTAGATTTAAAAATAACATGTGCACAGGTTAGAATTTAGTGGAAACAAGTCGACGTGACAAACCATACATTTAAAAATTGGTGTCCACAACGCGCACATGTCCATATTGTATGCTTCCTTTTGCTTGTGTTTTCATAGGTCTTTTTGTGGTTGACGATGACAAAAATATATGTTCTTTTCCTAAAAATCAGAAACTTACATATTTGGCAAAAAAAGTATAACGCAGGATCTTTGCATTCCTTTGTCAACAATGCTTGGAAAAAGGCAGTGCTTTGAAAATTGCGACCTTGGTGTAAAGTGGGTCCCACTAAAATGAAACTTTTTCCACCTCCGATTTACGTTTTCGGGTGGATCCATGGACGACGGAATTTCATCCACAAAAAGCGGAACTTCATCGCTATAATCCGATGGATGCATCGGGATCATTCCAAAAAGGGAAAACGTACCAGGTCGCGAGCAAGGAGCTATACCATATATATACGAATAGGAGTACGTATAAATTTGGATTACGCTGTCGTCTTTGTACCAAGAAAGGAGCTTTTCCCCTCCTTCTGCCTTCGGTTGCTACTTTCCGACTGTGTAACTTTCCTCGTAGGCGTTCATCAGGTCGTATAAAATAGGGACCCCTCCACACGCTGCCCTAGTGACGCAAGCCGACCTTCCTTCAGCTAGCGCGACGGGGTGAGGCGGTACCTACCCCAGTTACCGCCCTACCTCCCTCCCCCCCTTCCCACGGCCCTTCTTCCCCTTCCGCTGCCCTCGTTCGCTGCGTTGCGTTGCGTAGCTTGGCGTCGCTCGCTTTGCCTTTGCTGTGTGTGCAGCTTCTGAGCTCGATTCCAATCCGTTGCTCATTCTCTTGTGGGTTTGCCCTACTACACAGTTCGTAGCGGCGTTTCAGTGGGGTGCATGAAACTTCGTCTCAATTTTTGGTTTCCACCCACAAGGGTTGTTGGTTGAGTTCAATCTTGAGCTGGTTGAGGGTGTTGAGTGTGTCCATTGGGCTGGAGCTCGTGTTTTCTTCTGGGTCGTGGTTGGTTTTTGTGGGAATTGGAAGAGATGGGGGTGAATGTAGAAGACTAGGGTGGTCTACGGCCTTAGCTGTAGAGGGTAGAGGAGAGGGGGTGCGAGTCAGCGAGCTCGGCCATAGTGTGCGAGTGGCTGTAGTTTTCGTAACTTTCCTCTTCTGCTTCTGCTGATGCGGCTAGTTCCGCTTCGTCTCGTTGTATGAGCTTTGGTGATCGCTACACCGCCATTGAGCTTCACCGTGAACTTCGCTCTCGCGCTGTCTAGCGTTCTCTTTGTGTCTTTGTGGAGCCCTTCGCTTCTTGGGGTTGAAGGAAGAACTGGGGGGGAGGAAGACGTAGCTTTAGCTGCAGCTGGGGCGGTTCTCAGGGGAGAGAGATGCCTATGGGTGAATCGGTGGGGTGAGAGAGACGGAGAACTCTTCTTGAGAAGAGTAGAGGTACTGTTTGCTTGTAAATATTTTTTAAGCAGAGGAAGTTGTTGTGACGAGAGAAGCAGATTTGGGAGGAGTAAGAAGAGTGTTCATACCGGCGTGAATAGTGGTATTGATATTATGTAGCAGGCTCGATTACCGAAGAGCGTTTGATGGGAGCTGAAGGTGGTATGCAGCGAGCCATTGTTTTGTCGTGGTCTATTGCAACGAGTGGAGGGAACGTAAGCTGTAGAGTGGGCATGGGTGAGTCACGGGATGGGGGGTCACAAGTCATGGTGGCTCCACAGCAGCTACAACTGCCGCTGAAACGAAGTCATCAGAACCAAAACAACCGACAGTGTAGTGGCGCCATCAACGGCGCTAGTAATAGCGTTCGGGGGGCAAACCCTGCTATGTTGGACACTCCCGATGAGTTTCCCGTTGGAATGCGTGTCCTTGTTGTCGATGACGATCCCACTTGCCTCGTGCTTCTGGAGCGAATGCTGATCCTATGCTCTTATCGAGGTATCTTCACCCCCTCGGAGTATTCTCATGGCTAACTGCTCAATGTTGCTTGAACATGGTAATGAAAATAGAAAACAATAACACACAGTTTATCACTGGCGGTCATATGTGTGGAAGAGGATGGCCTCCTTAAGACATTAGGTCATGAGGAACCGCTCCCCATGTTGCAGTCGCTTGAATTGGACTCTTGAGGAATTTCGGCCACGTCAATGAGGAGTTTGCAGAATAGAAGCAAAGAAAGACAAGACGCTTTTTGCCGTTAATGGTCAGGATAAATCAACTGACTTTGGCGAGCAACAGTTTTCCTTAGATTTCAACGTCTTTAGTTATATTAATCCTGTCGCATGCATCTCATCGGAATCTCTGAAGGCAGAAAAGGTTTATTGGTTGTTCGTCGTGATTTTTCCTTTGCCGATCTTCTTTAGTCATAGGCGATTTGAATAGTCATCATGCAAGAGTCACTTTTTTCCTTCCTTCTTCTTCTGTTCGTGTTGGGTTCTTAGTCCGCTCAACTGAGTTGTAACGCAGCTTAACATGTGGAGAGTTCTCTAGAATCACATTGTACTCAATTACTATGTGATGAATTACTGTGTTCGGTCCCATGTAGTGGATTTCGTGTACAATTGTTTACTTCAAATGACATCTTTGTCAAAGCTATAACGTTGTTGAATATGTTGAGGTCAAAATTCTTTTCGCAATTTATTTTGGAATGTGAGAGATAAGTTTTCGGGGCAATCGCTCATCCGAGAATGCGAAGCGACTCTTACTTATTATGTGGGTGTTGCTTCAGTTACTACTTGCGGAAGGGCAACAGATGCACTGTTGTTGCTCAGGGAAGACATCGGCAAATTTGATCTTGTCATCAGTGACGTTGACATGCCGGATATGGATGGGTTCAAATTGCTGGAGCTCGTTGGGCTAGAGATGGACTTGCCTGTCATTAGTAAGTGATATGTATCAGCTTGATATGCTGCTTCATGGGGTTTAATTGTCAGTAAGCCTGTTCTCAAGGAATTCCTTGCTATTAATTTAATAGAAGTTCTGTGAAATTTCCCCTACTCGCATTTCCGTTGGTTGGGCTTTTCATTTCTTCAATGTCACCTTTTTATTTTATTCTCTTAACTGGGTTAGCTTCTGTACTTGCAGTGATGTCTGGAAACGGAGAGACAAGTGCAGTCATGGAAGGTGTTATTCACGGTGCATGCGACTATCTTATCAAGCCGGTGGGAATAAAAGAATTGAGAAACGTTTGGCAGCATGTGGTTAGGAAAAAGCGGCAAGAAGTTAAAGCCGTATCAATGAAGAGTATCGAGGAAGCTGGTGGCTGTGAGAGACAGAAGCGGGCTGGTGGAGCAGACGATGCGGACTACACGTCTTCTGCTACGGACACCACTGATGGTAACTGGAAGTTGTCGAAAAGGAGGAAAGGGGAGTTCAAGGAAGAAAATGAGGACGATAACGAGGAGAACGACGACCCATCTACCATGAAGAAACCTCGAGTAGTGTGGTCTGTCGAACTTCATCAGCAGTTCGTCAGTGCTGTGAACCAGTTAGGAATAGACAGTAAGTTTCTTGTTATGACACTCCAAAGAAGCCTGGAACCGTATGTATTGTCAGTATTAGCAAAGGTGGCGTTGACCTACTCCTACAGATGAATCCGAGGTTAAGCGCTACCATGTGAATTACTTTTTGTTAGTTGGGATTCTTTCATTCCTTGAACACATTTTCTTGCCTTTTTCTTCATGCAGAGGCTGTTCCTAAGCGGATTTTGGAGTTGATGGGCGTGCAAGGTCTCACTCGTGAAAACGTAGCGAGCCACTTGCAGGTAATACCTGCGACATTGAACATGTTTGTGATGTTGTCGTGTACACAATGTGATATTGCCCACTTTTAAGATAGGTAATGAGTCCCGCGTATCTGTGCGTTCCTGTAATTGAAACGTCTATTCACGAGTTTGGATTCGAATTCTTACCAGTTTGTTTGAAGCTCTGAAGTTCAAGAGCCTTTGGCGCTTCCTTGCCCAGCTTCATTTTACAGAGGCATCACCTGTCGATATTGTGCAGCTAGTGTTTGGTACTTACAGATGCTTTGGTTCACCTGGTTGTACAGAAATACCGCTTATATTTGAAGAGACTTAGTGGCGTCACAAACCAGCAGTGTAGCATGAGTGCGCATTTTTGCGGCACTGAGCCATCTTCTATGATATCTCCCGATATGGGTATAGCAAACGGGCAGCTTACTCCTCAAGCGTTAGCCCAGCTCCACATGTTGGGCAGGATGAATTCTTCCAATGTAATAGGTTTCTCTGGTGGCCTCGACCCCACGTTAAGTCATCAATTTTTTCTGCAGGACTTGCCTAGACCTCCGCACTTAAAGGACATGTTAAAAAACAACGCTGGGTTCTTATCTTCTTTTCCAAATGGATTACAACACCTGGATCAGCTGTCTGAGCCTCACCATCTCTCTGTGGTGAATGATTTGGAGGATTACCCTACTAACACCAAGGTCTTCCCTCAGTTGAATGGGAACCCTGGTATGTCGATTGGATCTGTAGGAATCGCCGAAACAAACTTCGGCTCAAATTCCAATGGTGACTCACTGTTGATGCATATACTACATTCAAGGGCTGCTCATCAAGGCGGAGGGTCGTCTTCAAACTTGCCACAACCTAGAGCTGGTCTGAGTCCATCTCATCCTCTCTCGAATGACATCAATTTTGCTCATGTAGGTTCTTTGCCCAACCTGGCTGGAAACTTGGTCCCTACAGCTGAGTTATCATCAATACCAGGGTCGGCAGGTGGAAGAGATCTCTCATCCTCAGTAGGTTTCACAGGAGCTTCTCTATCAAGTCCTTTGGGTTCTATAGTCCGTGGGCCTCTTGCGGCTGAGGAACCATCCAACCTTGTCAACTCCACGAGTGGCACCTTCAGCTGCATGGTACCCTCTGTCCAGTCATCGATACTTAGAGGTGTTGCGTTGCATACCTCTTTGAACGAAGGCTTGGATCAACAACTGCCAATGTGGGCATTGTACCAAAACCCTGTAAACCGCTTGAGCCATGGGAACTCACAAGGGCTCTCTCATGACACCTTGCAATGGTCAGGATTGACAGAGAACCTAGGTTTAGGAGATATGGGTCAGTCTCTGAGTGCGGGCCTAAGCTCTCAGTATTCCTCTCAAAGCCAGGATCATGGGATTGGGTTTGCAGCTCGCAGCCAAAGAATAGCATATACTCAACAGAATGTGGGCTTCCCAGTCAGTTCTGCACTGGACAGCAGAATGGTCAGGTCTTCTTACGAGCCAGAAGGTTTTCAGGGAGTTCTATGATCGACAATGACATCTGGAAAACGATTCATAGCTGGGGTATTTAAGCTTAAGCTTTTTTGTATGAGAGTCTAACTGAAGAAAACTAGGGTTCTGCAGTAGTCTGCTCAGTCTTTTTCCCTTTGAAGTCTGGATTCATACAAATGGGAGCTGCTGCTCTTAGAAATTCATCTTTTACCTTCCACAGCGCTGGTGGTGTCTAGAACCCTTGAACATCTCTCGGACACCAGGAGGGCATGCGTCGTTTTCTGATTGGACCAGGTTCCTGAAGCCCAAACCTATGAACAGCAGCATCCACTACGTTGGCTTCGGTGCTCTGGAAGGTGATGAGTTCCATGCAAGTCACAAATTCAGTGACCAGTTGATTCGGCCATCCTGGCGTCCACAGTGCGCTATGGTTGTCGATGGTGACGACCTACCGGAGGTAGATACATTGAGGGGCCCGGCCATGAGCTGTCCATGTAAATCAACCTTCTCCTTGTGACATTCTAAAAACTGTAGCCTGTGTCTGTGCCTGTTGTACAACCTGAACCTCTCACATAGTGCTCAGTCAGTCTTCACTTGCTCATTTTGTGAATGTCGTTTGTATCAGAACCTGTTGGGACCCTATTGTGTAGAAACTACACGTCAGTGTCTAGATTAGCCAAAGCTCACATCAGACAAAAGTAATTCGATTCAATAGTTACAGAAGTATTGCAAAACTTCTCATGTTGTGGGATGTATTCATGAGACTTCTTCACATCTCTGTGCTGGCATCAAATATTCTCGACAGCTATGGAGGAATGAGATCATCTGAGGGTGGTACATAGCTTTTAGCTTCTGGCTTTCTGGTTACGGCTTTTGTCTCTAGAAGGTCCCCAGCTGAATTCACTCTCCAAGCTCCCGGTCACCACGTATGCTTGGTACACCGCTTTTGCAACCGAATTCTGAGGATGAGAACACGATTGCACTTTGAGTGCACTCATGACATGTGAACGCACTCTGATCATGAACTCCGTATTGATGAGTTTTGACCAGCCTCCTAGGCTTTTACACAGTTTGAACCTACACTGATGGACCATACATGCCGTATAGGTTTCATCATTTGCCGTAGGGAAGGGCTTTGCTTTAGAGGGGGTATGCAAGGAGGGCGGGAGAGAGGGGTAACCCTCCTTATCTCAGAATCTGATTGGGGAGTAAATAATTGAACAAATAAACGAATAACAAATAATAAAAACATAACGAGCGCGAGCGAGCAGAAGTGCACGGCCTCTGCTGCTACCAGGATTTGATCTGCTCTGTACCCACACGCAAAGACAATCATATCAATCGTGGACAGAATAGTCCTATACTGACGGCGACACTAATAAAAACAAGTGGTGGGGGATTGTGATTGGCTGAAAACGTTTTCCTACGAAACTGATTGGTTCTCCTATCAACACTTTTCCCTGACAGACTGCCACGGGCTGGACAGAAACAAAATAACTCGTGAAAGGTGATGTGGGTTGAGGTTATTTTCCATGAACCCAGATATTTTGGATAATGACTTGCTTCAGTTCATGGACCAGTTTCACCCTACGAAAGCAACTCTAACCATTACCAAATTAACATGAATGACACAGAACTCTGCAACACATTTGCAAAAAGCACACTGAATTCACTTCACACCCCCTCTCCTCAAAAATGATTGAGCTTTCTCGGTGAAATATGTGGACTCATGTGTCACATCTACTGTCGTTTTAGCAGCCCTTGAGGTTTAGTAGTTGAGGCCCATGCTAAGAACCTCTCTTTCCACAACAAGTTTCTACAGTGAAAACAATGTTTTTGAGACACCTGATTTTTAGCTCAGTGTTACAAATATGCAGGAAAAAAAAAAAAAAAAAAAAAAAAAAAAAACTTAAAAGCTTGTGATGGTATTGTGGCACACATAAAGGTGTAATGAATGCATTGGATGTGTTGTTTGATTTGTGAAGAAGATTTGTGTTATGAATTATGCCTCCTGATTGGGTTTGTAAATAACTTCATCCACTTAAACGTAGGGGGGTAGTTTTCTTATTTCTTCAGCTTTGTTGTGTTTTAAAACTATAGTAATATGTGGTTTGTGTGGTTTTGTTGTTTGGGTTTAGTATTAAACCTTATAACATATTATTGTAAGTTATTTCTTCATGACATGGTCTTCTTATTAAATTATATGTGTTTATATATAGATATATATATCAAAATAAACACTTGCATTGGATTAGCACATGGAATGAATGTATCAGTTCTTGTAGTAAAAAAAAGAACTGTGATTGAACAATAAAGGTATCTTCAGAGGAATGCTCTTTAAGAGGGTGCCTTGTGAGAAAATAAGCCTTTGCAGAAGGATCATTTGTTTAATTATGAATAATACGATTTTCACTCTATTTAGGTTAAGATTGGCAAGTGCTAATTATGATATCCCTTCATGGTAACATGTGGGAACTCTTCCATTCAAGAAAGGGACTCTATTATTTAATTGTACAATGTTTATTTCTTGTATTGATATCTTATAATACTCTTACATGATTCATGCATTAGTTTGTGACAGTAAAATATTACCAAAAACAAGAGAGTACATGTAAAGATCATAAAAAACCATCACAAAGATTCAACACTAAAAACTAGATTTCAAAAAGAGTAAAGTGTAAATTGCATGTTTATGCAATAGGAAAATAAATTACCGTCTATAGATTTCTAAAGAGCTTATATCTAGTAATTATTATTCTTTTTTATAATAAAGTATTTAAATTTTTTTAAATTTAAAGATGAAGAAGTATGATAAATTTTTATTATATTTTTGCATGTGCTTGTAGAATTAGACTCGAGTGTCTTTAAAATTAAGTCTCAATGTGTAAATGATTTATTTATTCATTTCAATGTTTTGAAGGTTTAGTATTCTTCAATTTTTTTTTTCAATGCAACAGTGTCTACATCTTCCTTTCTATTGCCCATGATTGCAAAGCACCTAACTCAACACCTTTATACCACTATTCTTTTCTCAAGCATATTTTGTTAACAGAGAAATAAAAAAAGAAAAATTAAAAATCATGAAAATAAGGTTTGATAATTTTAGGCAGAAATACCGAATATTCTCTGAGAAAATCTATTCGATCATTTATGTTTGAAAATAAACATACACTTAAAAAAATTATATGTCTGCAAAATTCATAATTTAATAGAAAAAAAGTCCCATGAGCTTTTGAAATTTTAAAGAATGTATAGATAATGTAGTTATAAAATATGCAACCAAACTGATAACAAATTTGATTGTATTAAGTGCAAACTGTTGTTTTTAGTTTTAAACAAATGTCTTATCTTTTATTAAAGTGTAAACTTATCTTGACATATGTTTCTTTTGTGGATTTTAATATGAATCTATTTTTCTATGTTGTTTAATTATAGAAGCAGTAACAAGCTATTCAAATTCCTAAGTTCCATTTTCATTTCCAAAAATATTTAATTTTTTCAAAATATTTTTTTAATATAAAATATGACAAAAATATAGAATATATCTTGAAGCAAATTTGAAATGGTTTTCTTATTTGGTCCGTGTTAAATTAAGATTGGTGGACTTAGTCATTAACATCTTGTTTATTATTTTCCAGAAAAATGACTTTAGTTAATTATAAAAATAATCACTCTTTTAATAATATATTTTATTTTTCTATGCAATTTCTTTGTAATTTATTTATTATATTTAAATAAAATTTACATAGGTACATTATAAAAAATAAATAATTTAAGTATTGAAAAAGTTTTATTTTTTTAAAATCTTAGAATAATTTTCAAATTAATTTCAAATAAAAAATCAAATTAATTTATGAAATAAATTTATATACTAAATTTAGATTAAATTATATTAAAATAAATACTTTTATTTTTAATTAATTAAAAAAAAACAAAAACAATTATATAAAATATTTTTAGAAATTATATATATATATATATATATATTAAAGTTTTTAGAAATGTTACAATTTTGATTGTGCATTCTATCAATTATGCAATTTAATTTTTTATAACTATTTTGAAGAATTATTTACAAATTATAACTTGTAAACTTGTTATAAGAAATATATATATATATATATATATATATATATATATATAGACTCAAAAAAGTTATTGGACTTGCATATTATATCTAAGATTTGTAATTTAGAATTTTAATTGCTTAGCTATGTCAAATTGAGATAGTAGTTATTTTAACTATATGATATTTTATTTCTCTCAATGAAAGTTTATATATATATACAAATATATAAACATATAAATTCTAAAGCTAAAAAGAGAAAATTAAAAATCTCTCTCTCTCTCTCTCTCTCTCTCTCTATATATATATATATATATATACAATAAAAATATATAAAAAATAAAATAATTAAAATCTTTATTTGTAAGAATACAATTTTGAACATAAATCAAGATGTATGTGTGTGAGTATATATATATATATATTAATTTTATTTATTTTTATTTATGTGTCAACAATATAATATTAGCATTACATTCATTTCTTTAAAGAAAGCAATGAGATCATTAAGTTTGATGAAAAGACTTACAAGGAAGTTTGATCTAAATAGAATAGTGATAATAATTTTTAGAAAATAGTAGTAATATAAAAATATGTTATTTTTAAAATTAGCTATTTTAATATTAAAAATAATAATCTTTTTATTTCAAAAAAAATTGTGATTATTACTATAATTATTTTCTATGAATTTTCTAAATTAAAAGTGTTTGATATTAAAATTTTAAAGAAAAATAATTATTTAGTATATATATATAATTTATAAATTTATTATAAAAAAATGAATGTTTTCATACTTTGGTGATCTAATTAAAAATTATTTAGATGTGATAACATCTTTTATTTATTTCTGCTAAATTATTTATAAACCAAGTTCTATATATAATAATCTAATATGAAAGCATATTTAGTAGTTAATATTTTTTAACACTAACCATATTCCAGGTAAAATTAAAAAGTATCAAAAAGCATTGTGAATTAAAATAACTTTTAGAAAAAAGTCACGCTTAACAAGAATAATATTCATAAACTTACCAAAATTTAGAATTATAATAACTTTAAGAAAAAGAAGATAGAAACAAATTCAAATGATAATTAATATCAGCATAGAAGTAATGCAGAATATTTTTGTAATTTTTATAACCACATTACTTAATCAAGATAAACATAATCATTTTAATAATTCTTTGAATCAGATGTTTCCTTGATTATTATTATTTTATTTATTTATTTATTTTTTAAAACAGATCATCACAGGGTTGTATTTTTTTCAGAATGATAAGATACAAGGCAGTAATGGAACTATTAGATTAACTAGGTTTGTAAAAATAAAGAAATCAAATTTATAAAAACATTCAAGATCCACCATAGTTATAATCTAATAAGTTAGAGTTTATTAATATATAAATATATATATATATATATATATATATATATATATATCAAGATAATAAATTAGATATAAAAAATCAATTTATTTCAATATTTAAAATATTAAGTTAAATTAATATATATATATATATATATATATATATATATATATATATATATATAAAACTATATATATAAAACTATATATATATATGTATATATATATAAAACTATATATATATATATATATATATATATAACTATATATATAATCTATATATATAAAACTATATATATATATATATATATATATATATATATATATATATATATCTGTGTCGCTTCCATTTTTATTCTCTATGAA